ATACAAAGGAGATGCAAGGATAGCCCAAAAAAGTCCTAAAAAGGTCTTATTTCCATTGGGGTCCATGACGAAAAACCAAGAAGGTCGAAGGCAGCATCAAAAGAAATTTCAAGCCAAATTAAAAACGAAAAAGAAAAAACAAAATGAAAAAGTAGAAAGGTTCAAAAAGATTAATAAAAAACCACCGAAGCAGATAACATTATATTATTGCCACAACACAAACAAAATGTTTGCATGGAATTAAATTGTACACTAAAATATAATAGGCCTAAAAATTAATGAAAAATTACACATTATAATTTATTTTCAAATTATGTTTATTTTCACATTTCTTATAGATGTAGACGAATGCCTGTCAAACCCGTGTTCAGCTAATGGAATTTGCAGAGACGAAATTGCTGGTTTTACCTGTCAATGCAACAATGGCTTCACTGGAGAGCTCTGTGAAATAGGTACTACTAATGTAATATAAGACTGAAAGTGATATACATAATAGGGAGTTCACGACGTACCATATCTAATTTTCCGACCCAAGTTCTGAGCTGCTTTATTTTGTTTTATTTGCTTGGTGACACTACACCTTTGTATCGGTGGCACTCATAGTCAGTGGTGCGGTTATACAAAATATACAATATCAGTGGCGGATCCGGGGGGAAGTTCAAGGGGTTCGGACGAACGCCCCCTCTGTGAAGAAACGTAACAAAATACTACTGGGTCCTGGCTTACAAAAGGCATGCTCACCTATAGGTTGGCAAATCGCAAACTAGGCTTAACCCAACTAGCATTCAATTAAATACAATTAAAAACACTGTTTTTTTGGCTCGACTTCGTATTTATGTAAGAAAGTGTGTTCTTCAGGCCTATCGGTTCATCGATCTATAAGAAAGACTACGTATCCAACAACTCAATATTGTTGGAATATAGGCCTAATAATGTATTGACTATATCTTTGATTTTCTTCTATGGTATAGGCCTAAGAATGAGATAAAATCACCTGACTTTTTTTTAAGAGGGGTAAAACCTTAAATTTTGGAAGAAAATAAAATACACCTCAGAAGTAGGGAAAGCTCATTTCCGGCCATCTTGGAATCAAAATTTTCCCGGGGGAGGACCCCCGACACCCCTTTCATTTTTGGGGGGTTTTTTTTGGAAAAATTTTGAACCCCCCTCTTTCAAATCCTGGATCCACCCCTGCAAAAAAAAAATATATATATATATATGGTTCTATTTCTGGCTGTTTACTTACGTTTACTTTTTAGCTGTTGCTTATCATTTTTGTATCTCTACTGAGATCCAGCCATTGTTTCCCACAGCATTGTTGTTTTCCAGTATTTTGCCTTTTAATCTATACATATACTGTCTCTTATACACATCTAGATGTGTATAAGAGACAGAGTCAGTCGCAGTGCAAAAGTCAAGTGGCGCGGTGCAAAACTAAAGTGGTGCAGTGCAAAACTAAAGTGGCGCAGTCCAAACTCAAAATGCGTGTGCCACCACTTTAGTTTTGCACTGCGCCACTTGACTTTTGCACTGTGCCACTTGACCTTTGCACTGCGATTGTAGTATACATATGTATATATATGTATGTATACATACATGCACATAATTAATGACTATTGCGAGAGATTTTTAGGCCTACTAGGTAAAATAGTTTATATAAATTAGAACATGCAGGAATAAGTTTTAGAGGCATTTATGATTAAAGTCTTCATAAGGTGATCAGGATAAATTGCTCGCCAAGCAACCACTTGAAACTAATGGTATTATAGTCCTTTAGGAGATTACAATTGATCCCAATCTGCTTCTGACGATTTTTTATTTGATTTGATGTATTCAAATGTTCTTCAAAATACAACACAAATGAACATGAATAGATCGAAACTTAAAAGAGCATAGGTCTATTTGTAATAAAAATTGGCAAAAAAGACAAATACTTCCATGGGTTCCCCTTCATGAACTAACGTGAAATGAACATATCCAAGCAAAATTGAACAATTAAGAACAAAATTTTAACAATAGAGTATTTAACCTAAATATAAAATTCGATAGTTTAACTGACAATAATATGAATATTTGAATTTTTCATAAATACAAATAAAATCTCGTGAGAAGAGAAACAAAGTTCCAAAACAGAGTAAGGCAGCCCCTATTAGGCTACTTTAATTGGATCGTAGGCACAGAGCTCTCTAAATATGATTTAGTAAAGGTGACTTGTTTTATGTTTTATTATTTTTTATTTATGTTTGTTACCATCAATTTAAGACACAGATGAATGTTCTAGCGAACCTTGTCAGAATGATGCCACATGCATCGATGAGATATCTGGTTTCTCCTGCATTTGTGTGACGGGTTTCATAGGCACCACGTGCGAGACGAACTTTAACGAGTGTTCGACGAATCCCTGCGTTAGAGGCGTTTGTCAAGATCAGGTTAATAAATATGAGTGTGTCTGTCCCGCTGGTTACTATGGCGATCGATGTGAAGCTGGTAAGTATCGTATGCAGGGGGAAGGGGCTCGATAATTAAGAGAGAGAGAGAACGATACGAGGTTTTTCTTAACTACTTAATTTTAATTTATTTTTTTCTTCTAAAATTTCCAGTGCGGGAGACTGGGGAGATCATTTTTTGGTTGGGTGGGGAAGTTGGGGTAGTTACTATATCTTCCAGTGAGTCATTATCAAAATTACCATGATGCATAATAGAAAAGAGAAAATATTTAAGAACTGGGGAAAAGGTGGAAAAGGGGTGGCTATGCGACTTTTTTACCCAGAAGTATTCGAAAATCTGTATCTCTTTAAACCGTTTCCGAGTTCTTCGCCAATCCTTTTGAGGCAATTTTACAACATATCAAAATATTTCTCTCTCCGGAGCCTGGCTTAAAGGATTTTTGCCGCCTAACCTATATGTGACCTAGATGAACTGTATTCAGTATGTCTATTACATACAGTAGGCCTATATATTTACAATTTTCCTTCACCGATATATTCACATTGAGGGAAACAATATCTGTTTGTTTCTTTGTGTTGGCAGACCACAACGAGTGCTTGTCTTCCCCGTGTTTGCATGGGCTTTGCAGTGATGAGATCAATAGCTTTAATTGCACTTGTGA